ATTGCCTTTATGAAAAGGATATTTGACAATGGTCATGTTGTGTGAGCTCCACCTCTTATAGAACATGACAAGTGCTGGTATCTGCCTTTCTTAAGAGTGTATCATCAATGTAAATCAAAACAAAGCAAGGTAGTGTTTGACTCCAGTGCTAAGCATCAAGGCGTATCCCTAAGTGATGTTCTTCTCACTGGTCCTTAACTTAACCAACAACCTGGTAGGCGTACTTATGAGGTTCAGAGGAGAGCCAGTTGCAGTAACTGCTGACATCAAACAAATGTTCCATTGCTTTATAGTAAGAGAATGTGGTATGAAGAATTAAGTAATTGAATACTGCATGAAAGTACATGTCTTCGGAAACAGTCCCTTGCCTGCTGTCGCAACATATGGTCTACAAAGGACTGCTCTTGATGATGAAAATGAGTATGGTGCAGATGCTCGACACTTCGTTGAGAGAGACGTGTGCATGGATGACAGACTCAAATCTTTACCTACAGATAAAGAAGCCATAGACCTGTTCCAAAGGACTCAAGGTATGCTTCCTAAACCAACTTCAGACTCCATAAGATTGCCTCAGACAGTGCTGTTGTGATGAAAGCTTTTCAGCCTGGCAATTTATGCCCACAGGATTTAAAGATTTAAATCTGGGAATGGACATGCCTCCTGTTCAGAGAAGTCTGGGCTTATGGTGGAACCTATTAAAAGACACCTTCGGCTTTCAAGTCAGCTCTGCAGACAAGCCATTTCCTAAACATGGTGTTCTGTTAGTGGTGAACAGTCTATACGATCCACTTGGATTTGTGGCTCCCATCATCATACAAGGTAAATCCTTATTAAAACAGCTATCAGAGACTAGTAAAGATTGGGATGCTCCACTACCAAAAGACAAACATTCAAAATGGGAGTCCTAGAAACAATCTCTACATGCTTAAGATGAAATTGGCATACCCTGCTGCTACACTTCAGCTTTCCTTGCTGTCGGAGAAAATAGATTCACATTTTCTCAGTCTCTCTCAATCAAACCCATGTAGGCTTTCTATTTGGCAAAGCTAAGTTGGCACCTAAGCTTGAGCACACAATTCTCAGGCTTGAAATTTGTGGGACTGTGCTAGCCATAGAAATTAGATTTTTATACTGCGTGAGCTAGACATTCAGATAGATGACATAAAATTATACACAGGCAGCACAGTTGTTTTGGGCTACATATATTATCAGACCAAATGCTTCTATGTCTATGTCAGCAACCGTGTAGAAAGAATTAGAAAATCCTCAAGGTCTGAACAATGGCATAATGTTCCATTAGAGTTTTATCCTGCAGATCATGCCACCAGGTCAGTGTCTGCAAGTGTCTTTGCAAATTCTTCTTGGTTAACAGGACCTGAATCCCTGCTAAATCATACAGAAGAAACTATAAGTCTTTAGTCTTCTAGATCCTGACAACGATCTGGAGATTCGTCCTGAAGTCAAGACCCTTGTCACCAGATCTGAACAAAGATTAATTTTGGGTTGTTAACGCTTTGAACTTTTCTCCAAGTGGAGAAGTCTTGTACGCACTATTGCAAGCCTCCTGAGGAAGCCTGTTGATTAGATGTAATGTGTATAGGAGTGGAGCGGGATCATTCGGTGGCCCTTTTGATGTAGACAGCGGAGGTGGCAAGACAGAGAGCTGCCTGTGTTTGATATACACTGTACAAAGCACTGTGTGTGCACTGACTTGTGACTGTCACTTTATATATTGAATAAATGTTTTTACTGTAGAGAGCATTATCAGTCCCTATCCTTCTTTCATGAATGAAATAACACTTCTTATGTGAGTGGAAGATCTGTGGAACAGTGGAAGCCATCTGTGGTGGAGTGATTCTGGAACCATTCTGTTTGCAGCCCTTGAAGGGGGCACAAGCACATGTGACTCTTGACTAGCCCTCAGGGTCTAGTTTGGAGGTGAGCATATATTGTTCATTAGCAAAGGTATACGAGCACTAGGCAGTACAGGGAATAAGCAGCTGACATAAAGGCAAAATCCTCTATACCTTCCTAAAATACAATCAAAAATATGCAGCGCTATATGTTAGAACACACAGATAATAGAAATTGGTATAACAACGCTGTAGAGCGCTACGATATCGAAATCATGTGCAATGAACGTCTATGGACATTATAATTGTGCAGATGGTGAACTCAAATAGTAGAGTGGAATATATAAGCATATGGTGATGTGTATATAGATATAGATGTATATAGATGTAGATTGCAGCATGCTGTTTTATGTGGCAAATTTATAATAAATACTACACTATCAAGAAATTTCTGTTTTGGCTCGTTTGATGGCGAGCCCCCCTTCAAGGTGGATTTTGCTGCTGTTTTGTACCTGCCTTTGAGAGAGGTCCCCCTGGTGGCTATGTATGATACCATGGCACAAGGAGTGTGATCCCCCTGGTGGATGGCTGAGTGATTCCTGATCCCTGGAGGCAGATGACCCTGCAACTAATTGTCCTTCTGCGGTTGGCCAGCTGAGCTGTGGATGTTCATCCTTCTGTTACCAGAGGACCAGGAATGGTTTAAATACTCAAATGCGCATTTGTTTGCGCTATCTGGTTAGTGCAATCTACATCTATATACACATCACCAGAGTCACAATTTGCACCTTTTTATGGATTTGGGGACTTATATGCTTATATATTACACTCTACTATTGGAGTTCACCATCTGCACAATTATAATGTCCATAGACTCTCATTGCACATGATTTCGATCATAGCGCTCTACAGCGCTGTTATACCAATTTCTATTATTGTGTGTTCTAACATATAGCGCTGCATATTTTTGATTATATATTGTTCACTGGAGGTGTATGCATGAGTAGCTCTGGTGATCAGTTATAGATGATATTGGTGCATGGAGATATGGGGACACGCGAATAAGTTGGTGGTACTCGTGGATAATTGAGTGAAAGATCTTACTACTTTGGACTTTATGTTTTGGACTTTATTATTATTTTATAGTAGAGGTTTGTGAGTTGTGCGGCATCTTTTGCTGCATTAGATATTGCTCACTGCTATCACACTAATTCTATTGATGCTGAATTTCAAGGCTAGTACTTATGCCAAAAACCTCTTTCTGCAAAGGATATTGCTGAAAGCAAACTTATCATAATATACAGTGAACAACAAAATGACTTTAGCACAGCAACTAACCCTTTAACTGCCAGGCCCGTACTCCATAGGGACCTGACAGCAGGTGGTTTTATAAACAATCCAGTGACTGCACCCTCCGGGATTGTGTACACAACTGACAGGCAGACCCCTGCTTGTCAGGTTGAAGCAGTCATGTGGCTCTGCTGCTGCCGATTGCTTCCACAGCCCCCGGCGACCGTGCCCCATTTCCCCCCCCCTCCACAGGATTGCACCCCTTCTTTGTGTGACCTGGAATGCGACGTCTATGACATCACTTCTGGATCACAGCTGTCCACTTTCCCAGCTAGAATAGCCAGTGAAAGATGTATTGCAATGCAGCTTGCATTGCAATACATCTAATGGATCACAGAGGAGACATGCAGAGTCTTTTGGACCTTGCATGTCTCAATAAAGAGAACCTGTCACCAAAAAATCATCACATAGGAGACTTTGTGTCCCCTATGTGACGAAAACAAACATTTTTTTCTTTGTAAAAAACTAATGTTACATCTAAGCACATAAGACCCCCCCCCCCCCAAAAAAAAAAAAAAAAATTGAGGCCCCCCCCCCCACACACACACGTACGAATGTAAATGCACACGTTGGGGCGCCGATTGCGATACACATATTACATATTGCCGATCACACCAGAGTGAGAGCAATAATTCTAGCACCAGACCTTCTCTGTAACACTAAACTGATGACCTATAGGGGCCTTTGAAGCATTGTTAATAAAAAAATATATGGTACTGAAGTTTGACGCAATTTCATAGGCGTACACAAATTTAAGCTTTGGCATGTTGAGTATCTATTTACTTGGTACAACCTCATCTTTTATATTTTACCAACAATTTGGGTAATTTATTGTATGTGTTTGCCTTAAAATTCACTTTAGTTAGATTTTTACTGAAATTTTGCATTTCCTAGATGTTTGCAATAATATCGTGTGACATGAAAAATTGGAGCTACCACTGTTTTATTCTATAGGGTGTCTGCTTTCAGAAAATATATAATGTTTGGGGGTTTGTTTAATATTCAGTAATAATAATACAATGCATAGTCATGGTTAATGTTCATATAACTGTGAATTGAGAATTTGTATATTTAATTTCCTTAAAGTGTTACTAAATCCACAACAGTAAAATCAGTCTGTATATGCAGTACAGCATGCTTGTTTTACTCACCGTGGAGCCTAAGGGGTTAATTCTCTCCATTGTGTACAAATGTTGTTTGCTGCTGACTTCTTTGATCCTCCCCTTTTTCCAGAGTCCCCCTCTTATCTACTGATATATCATCTGGAGTCACTCTGCACATACTCAGTTTGGTGTGTGTTGCTAGAGAGGTTTTTTTTTTTCTTGGGAGAGTGCATGTGATCAGCACAGGGCTAATCAGCACTGTCCAGACAGAGGTCAGGGGTTTTGCATCCTTCTAAATCAGAATTAAAACTCCTCCTACAAGCTTTAACACATGTGCTCTGCTGGACACTGATAGAAGTCACAAGACTGCTCTAACTGCTGATGAGAAAAGGTGTTGAGAAGTTTATATTTACTAAAATAATTGCACTTCCATGTTCTGTTTACTGTGGGAGACCAGATAAAGTGAATGCAGTGTCCTGGGTTTAGTAACACTTTAAACTATTGTTTATTGACTTCGATATAGTTGGTAATATACTGCAATCTTGTGGTCATTTGGTTCTTCTGTGTTCCCTCCCATTTTATAGTGTATTTCCCCTTCCTTCTCACATTGCATTCATGGGATAAAAATTACTGCTGGTCTCATGGCCACGTGTTAATTTGCTCACAAGGGGGAACCATGTTTTGACCTGCAAATATGGTCTTTTCAATCATTTGCCACTTCCTATTTTCTGCTGTAACCTGCTACATTCAATAAACATATTTGTGGATGAGAAAAGGAGTTTGGTGCAGGGGCGGACTGACAACTCATGGGGCCCCTGGACAATAGGGGATCATGGGGCCCTGGGCAATAGGGGATCATGGGGCCCCTGTGTTCTTGCCCAAACTCAAAAAAGCCTATGAAAAAGGTACCAGGGGCATGTCATGGGGCCCCCTACTGACCCCCCCGGGCAGTGCCTGAGTTTCCAAATTGTCAGTCCGCCCCTGGTTTGGCGAGTTCCACTATCTGCTACAGACTGTCAGTGGTGATTGTATGTGCTTATAAAGGTCAGGCATAGAGGCCTCAGCAAGGGATAGGTTACTAATACAACAGTTGGAGTCAGAATACCCCTCTATTTGATCAGTTGTCCACTGAACTTTCTCCTCTGTATATTTTGATAACTAATCACTTTACCAGTATCAGGCAAATGTGTTTTTTTTGTTGTTTTGTACAATGTATATTTGCTTGTTTTTTTTTCTAGGAGAAAGAAGATTTAGGTTATATTTTTATATTTGTAGACTGAATATATCGAATACAGCAACTGATGTGAATTATTTGTTGACCTTTTACCAGTAATAATAGAAACATTTACTCTTAACATTTGATGTATAAAGCATATTACATGAATGTCAAACAGCTGCTAACCGTGAAGCAGTGTCATCCTAAAATGTATGGCTCATTATTTGTCCTTATTTTTCATATTCTGTGTAAATAATTTATCCATATGAGGTGAGTGCTGTTTGTCTAGCAAGAATGCCAAATCTGCTTTAGCAGTGTTTGCTATAACTAATCTCACATTCCTTTGTCAATATGCCTTTCTCAAATTGGATATTGTTACAGCTCAATAGTTTCAATTTGGTCAAAGTCAGATTGGTTCCAGGGTGAGTATTTTTTTTTCAGGATATGTCACAACAGTTCTTTCTAAACTTGCAGCTTAAGTGTATTAGTTTGCATAGAGAAGTGTGTTCTGTTTAAATATATGTAATCGAATACACCCTAGATTCCAGCAAACTGGAAACTTTTCAGGATGTGGTGTGATAAATCTTGAACACTGTGCAGTTTCAATTTGCTTGAAGTATAGCTAAAGGCAAAATCTCTTTTTTTTAGTTTCGGACAGTTTGGAGATGGATTAAAACAGCTATTAGTTGTTTTTTTTTGCAGTCTATGCCTCAGGGAGATTCACCCCTTCTATTTGTCTTGTTTAACATTTATAATCGAAAATGAAAGTAAAGAAAACCCCAAATTTCGGGTTGTCCCCAGAAAAGTAATAGAGGGAAAATTTTCCAATGGGGACACTAGTTCTGGTGACCTGCGGGTCTCCAAGGAAATCCCCTTAATTTGCAGGGATTATCTCTCACTTCCTGTTTTGACTATGGGACAGAAAGTGAAAGTATATCTCCCCAATGGGACACAGATAGCAAAAATAAACTGACAGGGGTTATAACCCTCCCTTACTCCAAATTATATAAAAAAAAAGTTTTGTCTGTACTGTAGTTGTATAGTAATTAAAGACAATACTTTTTTTCTAGTTTTGGATAGAGTGGAGAGGGATTAGAACACCTGTCAGTTTTCACTGCTGTCTGTGTCCCTGTTAGGGAGATTCACCTCTCTATATGTCTTGTTTACCGTTATCTATGAACATGAACTTGCCTTGATTACCAGAAAATCTCTCAGGCGTGGGAGCTCTTGCTTTTGGAGTTAACATCATAACTGTGGGCACAGCTGGGGCTATTGATTGAGTGGCTGGAGCAGTGGAAGTTGCAGTAGCGGTTGAAGTCACAGGTGTAGTAAGGGACTGGAGGCGATTCTCGAGCCAAATGTATCCCTCTTGCAAATTTTTAAAGGTTTGCATCAATGGTGCAATGAGCTGGCAGATCTAATACAGAAGAGGGGCCCTTTTCTCAGTCTCCAACATGGCCATATGGTACTGTCATGTACCTGGTGGTGGAGCCTGACATGGAGCGGTAAGCTTCTCTTACACCTCTGGCCCCCATGAGATTAAATGGGGCACCAGAGCGCGGACTGGCACGTCATGATGATAGGTGCAGACGAGTCATCTATGCTTTTCCAGATGCAGGCTGGATCATGATGCTGAGCAGCAGAGATGACAGGCTGTGGATGCATGGTAGGGGCTGGCAGGTCACAGGCAGACAGACAGCAGGCACTGGCAGACTAGTGGTACAGGGTGGCAGGCACAGGTTCTGACCAGAGAGCAGAGTCAAGTGAGCCTGATCGGTATCTTGTGGGTAGGTAAGGTACAAACAGAACACAGAAGAGTAGTCAGAGTCCAGGCCAGGGTCAGTAGTGGTGAGGCAGATCAGCATAATCGTGTTAGCAGCAGAAGGTTAGATACAGGGATGGGTAGCAGGGATACAGGAAACTCTATAGACCATACATCAAGGATCCAGTGCATCAGTGCTGCTTAAATAGCCCGCTTGGCACCTGTCAAACATATGCACCTGGGCAGAGTATTTTTTCACTTATATTCCAAAAAGTAAAAAAAACGCAGTGGTGATTAAATACCACCAAAATAAAGCTCTGTCTCAAAAAATTATAAAGATTTCATTTGGGTACAATGTTGCATGATTGAGTAATTGTCTGTGAAGATGGTTATATAGTTAGCCTGGCTGAATAAAAACAACCAGTTCAACAAACAAAACAAAAAATAGTAATCACATACCCTCAGTTGATCCAGAGGAAGGCAAAAAAAACTCAGCAAAGCATGATCTAATTTGCTCCTATTCCACATTTTTCACAGCTTTTACTGTGAAGAAACCTTTCTGTATTTGGAGATTAAATCTCTTTTTCTCTAGAACTAAAGAGTGCCCCCTTTTCCTCTGTGATGACCTAAGGGTGAATAGCTCTACACCGAGTTCACTATATGAACCACTGTTGTATTTATACATGTTGATCATATCCCCCCTTAATCTCCTCTTCTTAAATTCAGTTCCCCTAATCTCTCCTGATAGCTGAGCTCCTCCATGCCTCGTATCAGTTTAGTTGGCCTTCTCTGCACTTTCTCCAGTTCCCCAATGTTCTTTTTGTGAATTGGTGCCCAAAACTGCATATTCCAGATGAGGTATTACTAATGATTTGTACAGGGGTAAAATGATATCTCTCTCTGGAGTCTATACCTCTTTTAATACAAGAGAGGATTTACTCGCTTTAGAAACTGCAGCGTGGCATTGCATGCCATTATTAACCGCTTCCCGACCGTCCTATAGCAGAACTACTGTTACAGGGTGGCAGGGCTGTGCAAAATCATGCGTATATATACGTGATCTTGTATTTCCAGGAAGGGGGAATGCGCGCGCCCTACCCGCGTCACCATTGGCGGCTACAACTGTTGATCACCGGGTCCCAGTTGGAGATTCCTGGCGATCGCTAAGGAACACTGACGGCAGAGAGAGGTCTGTATCTAAACAATACAGATCTCTGTCATGTCAGCTGCAGCCCGCCGCTTTGTATTGCTCTGCATAGCAGAGCAATACCAAGCAGAGTGCTTACACAGTAAAACACAGCACAGCACACAGTTAACCCTTTGATTGCCCCAGATGTTAACCCCTTCCTGCCCAGTGTCATTAGTATGACTAGCATTTTACTAGCATTGATCACTGTATTAGTGTCAATGGGAATGTCAGTGACAGTTGGTCAGTCCCCCCTCAACCCCAGTGTCAGAATGTCCGCCGCAGTCTTGCTATAAGTCGTTGATCACCGTCATTACTAATATAAAAAAAATTCCAGTATCTATACCGCCATTTGTAGACGCTGTAACTTTCACGTAAACAAATTAATTTACACATATTGGGATTTTTTTTAGCAAAGACATGTCACAGAATACATTTTGTCCTAAATTTATGACAAGATTTGATTTTTTTAAATTTTTTTTACTGGATATGTTTTATAGCAAAAAGTCAAAAATATTGTTTTTTTTTTCCCCAAAATTGTCTTTTTTTTTTTTTTTTATTTTATAGCGTTAAAGGTTTGTCCTGCTATCTTTTGCAATCTGTTGTTCATTTTCAATTTTTGCAGCTTTGATTTCGTTTTTACATATTCTGTTATCTTCTTTGTAATGTTTAACCACTTGCCAACCTTGCTATAGCCCTCCCGTGCACCCAGCGATCTCCATGATCGCTGTTTCCTACGGACACAACTGATCATGTGATGTGGTAAAAGGCCAATCATAGCAGCCTTTTACCACTTGATCAGCCATATCCAATCAGATCACCGGTAAATGCAGTTGCCGGTTATCGGCTGCACTTTCCTCACACTGTCACAGCGTTAGGTAAGTACTGCCGATAACCGGCACTTGTCAGAGGACGGTTTGGCACTGATGATCGGTGCCTAGCAGTGCCGCCCACCTGTGTCCAGCAGTGCCACCCACCTGTGCTCATCACTGCCCAGCATTGCTACCCACCTGTGTCCAGCAGTGCCCCCCATCAGTGCCCAACAGTTTCGCCAGTCAGTGCCCAGCAGTGCCACCAGTCAGTGCCGCCTATCAGTGCTGCCTATCAGTGCAGCCTGATCAACGCACATCAGTGCAGGAGAAAAATTAGCTGTTTGCAAAATTTTATAATAGAAACAAAGAAAAACATTTTTTTTAACTTTTGTGCTCTTTGTTTATAGCGCAAAAAACAAAAACCAGCGGCAAGTAAATACCACCAAAGAAAGCTCTATTTGTGTGAAAAAATTATAAAAATTTCATATGGGTACAATGTTGCATGACTGCGCAATTGTCATTCAAAATGCAACAGCGCTGAAAGTTGAAAATGTTCCTGGGCAGGAAGGGGGCATAAGTGCCCGGTAGGCAAGTGGTTAAACGATGATAGGGTTTCTCCATTTTTATATGTAATAAAAGCTCTTTTCTTATCTATAGCTTTTTAACTTTGGCTGTAAGTCACATAGGTTTGATTTTTAGCCTTTTAATCTTGTTGACCACGGGAATATATTTTGCAGTGTATTCACATACAGTCTTTTTGAAGAACTCCCATTTCTGTGTCATGTTCATCGATGCCAATATTCCCTC